GTGAACGGATGAAATACATCCTAAAATACATCGACACTGTACGGCTGAAATTCCACCCCCTGATATTTCCTGTTTTCCCATCGAAAAATACAGAAAGGTCACATTTACAATTACATCTAGAAACTACTCATTGTTTTTTTTTTTTTTGCTCTGACAGCAGTCAGCAGCCTGTGTTTTTCTTACACAGACTGAGGTGCAATATCAACCGGGGTCAAGGGTCACAGGAGCCCTATTATTGTAGTGAGACCTAGGAGTACGTGCAGCTACTGCAGCGTTTGTGTACAGTATATTTACCATGAAAAAAAAGAAAACGTGTGACGGAGATTGAAATGTTTCTGTGGACGATGAGGCTTCAAACCAGAAAATATATGATTTATTCAACTTTACTTTTGATATAATTGAGTTTGAATTTATTTCTTGAAACCAGAATTATTAGGAAAAGTTAAAAATATATTGACTGTGAAAAGAAAGACAAGCAGTTTCTGCCAGGACTTGAACCAGTGACCTTCTTGTTGTAAGGCAGTGGTGATGTAATATGATGTTTGTGGATGCATGTGTTGCTGTGGGACAGTAACCATCAGCCTTTGGTCCTGGTTTCTGTTGGAGCAGCGTCACAGTAGAACCAGCTGACAGGAGATCTGAGGTGCTGTTCGTTCTGGAAGTGTTTCCTCTCCACTGTGTGAGATTCAGTTACTGTTGCCTCAGCTGAAGGTCAGTGCAGCTGTAGCACTGTGATGAAGTGGCCTCCACCACCGCTGCTGGAGCGCACGCCGTCACAGATGTGTTTGGGTTTGATTTATCTGAGCAGGATTGTCCTCACACCTGAGGTGACTGATGGTTTGTTGGCCTAAAAACACACAGTGTTGAAACATAACGAAACGTAATGACTCACTTCACGAACATGTATGTAGGAGCTGGTGAGAAAGGAATCTATAAACATTTGTTCCTAAATTAAAAAAACAAACAAGGAAATCCATCGGTGTGGAGAGACAGAAGAGAATCAATGTCCTGTCATCTGTGTGTGTGTGTGTGTTGGGGGATGTATGGGGGACGTGTGAGTGTCCCTGACTAACAACAGATAAAAGCCCCCCGTGAATGTATGCTAATGTAATATTGGTAGTACATTCCTCCCTCTAAGGTGGACGCGGGGTCGTTTCATCTCCTTTTATGACACTGTTGTGCTGACCAGCAGAACGCAGGGACAGTAACGTCCACTTTCTCTGTCCTGGCTGAGCATCCATCGACGCCGCTCTGCTGCCAAGTGTGAAAAAGAAGTCGGCGTATCACAGAACAACAGGGGCAGCAGCCGCAGGGCTTCAGCGAGATCTCTGCCACCGCTGGACACTAGGGGGAGCTGTGGGGGGCTCTGCTGTCCTTTACTGTGAATCTGTCTAAAGTGGCCGTAGATCAAAGTGGGAAATCAATGTAGCCTTCCAGTTGGACGTGTCACTGAGTCACTCCCCTGGTGGTAGAAGTGTGAAAAACACCAGGAACTGTTAAACGAGTTGATGTCGAGTGGTCGCTGTTCTTGGTGCTCGTGTCTTCGTAGTCTGCAAGAATGGGGAAACTAGTTGTCAGAGGAGTTCATCAGGCCTGCCTCCACTGGGGGGCGCCAGAGATTTTCAGGGAAGCTGGAAAATAGGGAAAAAGATCAGCTGGTGTCGTGTCATAGCACGAAACATAAGTTTTAACACATAAAAAAATGAGAACAGTTGATGTTTTGTTGTATTAGCACATTAGCATTAGCCCATTAAAACAGCCAAGTAATTAAAGGGAGGAGTAGAAAAAATAAACAAAGGATTAGACATTGAGTGTTGGGTTTTTTTTCTTTGTTTTTTTTTCAACAGAACTTTTTGTGAGTAAAGGTGTTTTGATCACAGCAGTGAGTAGAAAAGCTGAATCAGGTGCTGGCAGACTGAAGTACAGTAACTCGGGGAGCTCCATAATAGCATAATGTACACTGCTGATAAATCTGCCAGCAGCATACACAGCATCACCACATGGTGGAGCTTCCACAGAGGCCGGGATTCAAAGTGTGCTCCAACTCTCTGTCGCCCTCCATCTTCTGTGGGACGCAGCTGTTTTACTGCGTGTATTGATCATGTGCGTTTATAAGGCCAAGAGGATCATTCCTGGGAGTGGTTCCTCACTTTTTCTGGCCCAAATGACCCCAGGCAAAATCAAGTAATTGAACTAAAATGCTCATTGTCATCAATCTCTGCCTACTGGGCTGCAACTGCTGCGACAGCTTGAGATGGAAAATGGAAAGAAAAAAAAAGCGGTTGGTTGAGCCGCAGTGGCCCGTGCATTGCACTGAGGTTTTCAAGGTCATCGGAGAAGTGCACACGTCCACAGAGTGTTTCATTTTCCTGACTTTTCCTGTGGAAATGCAGCAGATGGTTTTACAAAAGGCCCCAGAAAGCTATTGTATCCTTCCTTCTTGAATTCCAGTTCTAACAAAGTGTAACATTAGACTGTGTTTCACATTTCTGCCTCTTGGGTTTGACGCCCCCTGGGCTGTAGTTTGTTCTCAGTGTTAATTTATATTATGTATCCTAGACTGGTCAGTCTTTCCCAAACTTTATTTCTGGGGATCCATATTTTAAAATTCATAAACCTTTGCAACTCAATAGACATTATTCGTAAACCCCTGGGAAACATGATGTGAGAAGACTCAAAAAAACCAACTCTTGCGACCACCTGAGGGTCCCGACCCAGTCTTTGGGAAACAGTGATATAGTTGTGGTGATCCCACAGCCAATCAGGTGTCAGACAATGTAAAGCAGCCTAAAGATTTTTTTTATTTATCCTCTTCGTGTCAGGTTGAGCTGAGAGTGAAATTTTGTTTTTCAAGTTACTTAGAAAATTATTCTCTCATCAAGTTAATCACCAAAGGCTGCTTCATATCAGCGCTAACGGGGAGTAATTGGAATAATTGCTGCTTCAGTATCCACTCTTAAAAAATACACCAAGTACTACGTGAATCAGTAAAAAGCAGGAACTCAACTCAAGAGCAGAGTTGATGTGGTTTCTGGACATCCCTGTTGTGTCTTGTCTGTACGCAGGTCGAAATCACTCCCTGGTATCAAACCTGTATCTTTTTTCACAGACGGTGCACCAGTGTGTGAAGGTCTGTGGATGGACACCGGCCCAACGCTGGCCGAGGCAATTTAGGATCCAAAGAATCAATCCTGTAAAAATCTTGCTGTCAGTCAAGGTCTTTCAGACACTCCTGGAGAGTGATTGTCGAGACTCCAGAGGGAGCACTCTATCTGAGCAAAGAGAAAGGAAGAAGGATGTGGGAGAGATGTTGTCATTACTGCGCGCTGCCAACAAGAACTGCATTCTCTGTTAATAAAGAAAGAAAATGTCAATGTGCAGAACACCGAATTGATTGGATGGGATAGATGTGTCGTGGGCCTTAAAACCTGAAGTTAATGCAGATTAAAAGTTGTTAATGAGACACTAGTATACTGCTCACAACCAAATATCGCAACAACATGCAATATCAGACATCTGAGGAGTAACCAGGGCGGGAAAATAGTTTTTCTCCCAGGAGAAAAATATTGCAAATGTTTTGAACCGTGCTGAGACCAGAGTCTGGGGCTCGGTTCTCACGTTTGGGATGAACTTGACAACAGCAACATTTGTGTTTCTGTTCTGTTTGTAACGTGTCATGTTTGCACAGCAGAATTATTATGACTTTGTCCCTTAGTGGAGGTGCACAGCACCACTGGAGAGAAGAGCTCTGCACTTTAGAACCCATTCTGATGGTTACTGTGAAGTTCATATTCAATAACATGATAGAGCTAAAAACAAATGTGTATATATTTGTACATATATATAAATATATGTTCAATAACAATAATAACAATAACATGAGCTAAAAACAAATGTCAATATATTTGTACATACAGTATATGTATATATCCGGGCTTATTAAGTGTTTTGATTGGTAGGTGAAAAACATCATTAATTCATTAATTTGCTTTAAGTGACAAGAAAGAAGACATATATATATATACACAGTATATATATATATATTTATATATATATTTGTACATACAGTATATGTATATATCCGGGCTTATTAAGTGTTTTGATTGGTAGCTGAAAAACATCATTGCTCTTGGGCTTATTAAGTGTTTTGATTGGTAGGTGAAAAACATCATTAATTCATTAATTTGCTTTAAGTGACAAGAAAGGGATATTATATATATATATATACTGTGTATATATATATATACATATATATATGTCTTCTTTCACATCTGGACATCAGCGTCTTCAAAACTACCTCTCAGGTTCAGAGACCGTTGACCTGTAGTGACCGGCCCACGGCTTCTCTTTCTTTGTGCTGACGTTGTTTATTTTCTTTATTTGTCAGTCGAGTCAAGTAGAGCAACGAGGAAATGTGAGGGAAAACCAATGTGTGTCGTTGTGTGTGTCTGTATAAAGGATGATGTGGTCACTGCTTCCATTTCCTTCTCTTGGCAGAAGTCACCGTGCCGGCGTTAATTATGAGAAATAGCGTGATGGAGTTACTGTGAGATTGCACGCGCGGGGAAGCGTTATGATGGATGCTGTGAAGAGGAGTCTGTCAGCTGCCGCCTGGTTGGTCTCCACCGAGGATGGAAGGCTTCAGTGTAGTTTCTGACAGAAACATGTTTTATGAGACTGGCGGCTGTGAGGCAGTTCGGATCACAGCCTGTGGGGGCAGCACTGACCATCCTGCTCCTCCTCTTCAGTCTGATGGCAGCTTTCACATTCGGCTCCATTTATATTTTTCGTGTAAATATATTGTACCAGAATCATCCTACCATGTGTTAATGTTTTTGAAAAATACAAAACCATAAAGGTTGTTAGGTTTGACTGATTGAAAACGCACTATTTTTCCTGTTCCTTTGGTGCCCCCTTGTGGACGGAAAATGAATAGCCCTAGATATCTTCTTAAAAAATGATTGAATCTCTAATGTCTGCTCTTACTGTCATCTCCACAGGTATGACCCTGCAGCGTGGAGTGAACTCCGAACTTTGAGTTGTGGTTTTGACCTTTCTTTCCACCTTTGCCGCCTTGAAACACTCCTCTGATGTGAGTGTGTTTTTATAATCTGAAATTCTCTTTATTAAAAATACATTTTCTGCCTACTTTTCTGTCAACATTTATTGGTGAATTCTTCCTCTGTTGGCAGGTGTTAAGCAACTTTGCTGAACGTGAGTATTTGAACATTCACCTTTTTAAATTTAGATTATAACATGTATTACTTAAGTTGTATTTTAATAAATGTATTAAATATTTTATGGTACATTCAGTGTCCCAGGCTTAAGTTAATGTATTTCTTTCTTTTTTATTTAATTTTTGCCTTTAGATTTCTTAATCATGACGTCTTGCCTTTTTCGCTGCTGTTGTTTAATGTTCGCAGTCATAAGAGTTGGCAGATCTCCTCACTGCAGTTGTTTCCTTCACATCATTATACACTGACCTTTTGGAGGTTGTTCTATCACCACATTTACACGCCGCGTTCATTCCAGCAGATTGTCTCTCTGTTTACTGGAACAGCGACATTTACGTGATTTAATTAAGTGTCTGATCTTCTGAGGAACTTGTTATTCAAGATGGGACTTCCTGTGAATGTGTGTGTGTGTGTGTGTGTGTGGGCAGAGATTGATGGAGAGCTGTTCGAATGACAGCTGGAACTGTTGTCATAACCGGAGGAATACTGGCCACGGTGATACTTCTGTGTATCATAGCTGTGCTCTGTTACTGTAGACTCCAGGTACGACTCTCCTCACAGTTGTCTGAACGTTTGTCCTAAACCTGTGGCTCAGGGCCCTGTTAGGGCACTTTGAAATGTTCATGTTGTTCAATCAGTTTATCTTGAATGTGAAGATAATTTTAACATCATTTTATTTATTACCATATTTGCATTTTTATATTTTTTTATATATTTTTATATTAGATATATATATTTGCATAGCTTACACTTTTGGCCATTTCTGGATTAACTTCTATTTTTTTTCCTGCTAATTAAAATATTTCTTTAAATATTTTTGTTTTACAAAAGAACAAATAACGCTTTACTTGACGACTCATAGCTACCGTTTTACTCAAATTGCTAATTTACCACCGCAAGTTGATTTGGAGCACAAAAAAGTTGCATTATTTTTGTCTTGTTTTAGGTGTCCTATATATTTTCCCCCACCAGGTGGCACCAAGTGAGCGTTTTCAGTAGATTCAGAGGATACAATCAGAATAATGTCGGGATAGAAAAGTCAACATATTAAAATAAATAGTGCCGAACGGTGTGTACCTCTGATTTGTAGTAGTACTTCATGACCACAGTGAGGTGTATATTCACATGTACTACTGCAGATACTACTCAAAACCACAGCTGCTTTACTGGAGTGGTGTGTTCTGTTGCAGTACTACTGCTGCAACAAGAATGGGTCTGACAGCGGCTCCATCTCTCAGCAACACTTTGCCGGAAACGCCTGCAGCGTCACGGGGCTGGACGGGTCCATCTTCACCCCGCTGTCCCTGTCACCACCGGAGCCGGTCAGGACCTCCAACCCTGCCAAACCTGGAGGAGGTCCTGGCCGCAGCTACTGCCCCACCTGCTCCCCGTACGACTCACCTTTCTACGTCCGCACCGCAGATGAGATGCGCAACGGCGGTGAGCGCATCACCTACATGCCCACACACTACGACAACCCGGCGCTGGCGATGCCGCTGCCCGCCGTCCGAGGCTCCCTGCTGAGGGAGGCGCCGGGAGCAAGACCTCCTGATTTCTATACCAACACTAGAGCCATCAGCACCGAGGTGTGATCAGAAGCAAAAGAAGAAGAAGGAAAAAAAATAAATTAAAATTTAAAAAAAAGATCAGGGCAGTGATTTGTCAAAATAACAGCAGCTGCCTGTGGAAATCTGCGGTTTTCCAGGTCACGTGATCACTTTTGAGGATGGTTAAGAAGGATTTACTGTGAGGATTTTCTTAGTCTGCTGTTGTGAATGAAGCAGTGATGCCTTGGAAAAAAAACCCCAAAAAACTTCCTGATCTTTAATGCCATGAACTCCACATGTGAATTAAAGGCAGACCAAGGCAGTAACTACTGTATGTGGTCCGTAGTACTTACAGTACTTTACAACTGTAACTACTGCAGGGAATAGTTTTACACCTGTGTGTTGACAGTCACTGTGATTTTACTGTGGTACTGTAATACCCTCTTAGTGACCGCCACAAGGACAAAAGAAAGTTAAAAAAAAAATAAAATAAAATGTAGCGACTGTGAAGTAACATTTTTTGCAGCAGGATGGAGCCTGGGATACAGAGGAGGAGAATGAAAGGTCAGCATCCGTGTGTGGAGCCTGGGATACAGAGGAGAATGAAAGGTCAGCATCCGTGTGCAGTTTCTCTGGAAGCATGTGAGAGACTGGAGCGGCGTCACTGTCACACTCTGTCTCTCCTTTCAGCAGATTTTTTTTTTTAAAGTCCTATTCTGGAAGTTTCTGAGTCACGTGTCCACCAGTGAGATACATCACTGGTGGGGACGCCTGCAGTGATTGGACACTGGATCTTGGACACGACACCTACTGAGTTGCCAGATCTGGTGCTAAAAAAACTTCACCTTCCTCCACTGAATAGTCAAGTTTGTTGAAGTATAGATTTTCCTTTATAAACACGGATGCAAAAAAAAAAATTGAAAATGTAAATATTAGTTTAGAAGTCATGAAAGCATGTTTTGCTTCTACTGAGGTTATGAGATACAGACGCTACCTGAAAGGTGATCATGCAGTATTTTTTTTTTGTTTGTTTGTTTTAAAGGAGTCTGATTTATAAGGTGAGCTGTGCTTCCCACACAAGAAATCTTTACAATACTACAAACTGTGTATTTTATTTTGGTGTTTTTTCCCTTCACTGATAAAAGGTCAGAAGTGAAGGCCAATGAAGAGAACACAGGGCTCGGATTATCATGACACCTACTGGCCATTTTTGGTTAATATTCCTTGTGCTTCATTTTGTTTCACAACAAGAAGTTTTGGATAAAAGGTGATTTGATTTCCAAAAATCTTTATATTATGTCTGGAGTTGTGTTATGTTTAGTTTGATAAACTTTTTTTTAAATCCTCAACAAATTTGAATAAAACCTGTATTGAAGCTTTTCAACAGGTTTTTTTTTTCAACTTCAATCTGTTTTTTTTTTCTTTTTCTTTTCCCAAAACTGGAGGGACATTTGAAGGAAACTGGACTCCAGTTCTAAGACGAGGCAAAAATGTTGGTTGTGACCTTGCGAAACTTGCGAAAGTGTTTACATTTAAGTGAAGGGGGTGTTACGAAGTAACTGTGTTATATGCATGGAAAACTATTGTATTTTCTCCACTGTTTTGAATTTAGTTTTTTTTTTTTTCCTCACCCGGTGTCAGACATATTCTAAGATGCTTAATCGTGCGTTAAATCACTGCATAATTAAGCCAAAAAAGTGCTGTTAATGCTGTTGGTGAATTACGGATTAAGGAAATGTGGTGACATCCTTGCTTTTATAGAAGTTAAACCTAGTCAGACTAATCTGAGCTCAAACCTCTGAAATGACCTAACCCTCTCTGTACAGTTGAACTACTTCTATATTCTGTGAAAAGCTATAATCAGTTATTTGTTCATGTACTTCTCTTTTGAGTACTTAACTTACTGGCTATATTTAAACATAGGAAATAAAGATTTTTAGAAATGTTCTTAAGACTCTAATCACAGCCGATAGATAGTGGAACAGTGATATCTAACAGTGTAAACTTTTGAAAAATTAAAGATTTGTAACAGCTTGAAATCGCCTGCGGTGTTTTTACTCACACAACTTAAGCAGCTATCAGACAAAACACACAAAATCATTTTCTGACTCACTGAGCAGAATTTTACTGAGCTACTAAAGCCGCACTGCCACCCTCTGGTGGATAACGGAGAAACTGCAGACGGCTGCTTAACGTCTTGAGTAAATGTAAACATTTTGGTTTTGCTAAAATTCTAATTCAGACATTGGTTGAGATGTTAGGTGTTTCATAAAATGTAATTTTGAGGTGTTTGGTTAAGGTATTTCATATAGGGATAAAATGTAATTTTGAGGTGTTTGGTTATTTATAACTATGAATTGGTAATAGAAGGTTATGAAGGTAAATCAATTTAAATACCTGATTCAGAGCCAAAAGAACAGACAAGACAGTGGACAAATGAAGTGAGTAAAACAGTGCTGGTAGGATGGAGCAGATGGAAGTCTCTCTTGGTGTGTAAACAAGTACTAATCTTCTTTACTTTAATTAAAGATACTAATTTGGATGAGAGACCTTGTAGACGAAGATGGGTGAGATGTTGGCAGATGATCAGCTGAACATTTTTTAGGAGCATTAAAACCCTTTGCCCTGGGCAGTGTATTGTTCACAATGTCATTTTAATTCATTTAAAATGTATTGTTATTTCACAGCACGCATACAAACCTGCTCTTTATGGTGGCCACCAAACAGTTAAATGTAAAGTTTATGACCCAGATCATCCTCTGTCGAACAGAGCATGCGTGAAATATTTGTTAACGTTCCACACCGGAAGACGTGTCACCGAAGTCTCCGAGTGATTCATCTTCTTGCACACATACGATCTTCGTTGCAACTCTTGTGACAGCTAGCATTCCGGTGAACAACACATCAACGGTCCAAACGTAAACAGGTGTGTTGACAGCTTTTCAATCAGCATTTCCTTCACTCCTCCGATCTGTTTACATGCACAGGAAACAAAAGGTAGTGTCTCCTTCTTTTCTGTGGACTTTTTCGAAGGAGGACCCGGACTGGGTGTGTGTGCCTGTCTCCCTCCTCCACCTACTGCTGCTTCAACTGTTTTGGACTTTGAGCTAGTTAGCCTTTAGCCAAACTTAGCGTTGTATTGCTGTCAGTGATACTTCCTGTTTAGTCTTCTGTCACCTGTTAGCCCACTCACAGTTACCTTCTTCACATGCTTAGACATTAGTTTTATTAATGTGTGGAGGAATAGAATGTAGGGGTCAATTACCCTGAAGCTAGCAACGATTTTGTTTGCCCAGCAGCTCTGTGACAGGAGTGTTTTTCCGCTTTGCTGCTGCTTTGCTGGCAGTGTGTATGTGTCTGACAGCACAATACCAAATCACTCTAATTTACGAATTCAGGTTTTGTTTATCGATTGTTTTTTTTTTTTAAGTAAAGCCGCTGTCATGTTAAAGATGGGCTGCTGCTAACCTGGCCCCATAAACATCAATAGGAACAGTAACGGTTTTGGCCAGAGAACAACAAACTAGTTCCACCGCAGGAAAACAACGGTAATCTCACCAAAGTTTTTTGTCCCTAATATTGCGTTACGTAACATTTAGCTAAAATATTTTTTATCGAATTAAAATTAATAAATACATGTTTTGCAAGTGCCTTGGAAAATGTACACACACCCCATGATTTTTAAAATATTATCATGGCAGGTGTTGATAATGATAGAAATAATAATAAAAAAACAAATTATATTTTCCCCTGATTTGAATAGTTTTTCATATCTAATAATAATAATGACAAGCACTTTTTCATTGTGCTCTCATAGCTACATGGAATGTCACGTGTTTCACACGTACAAACCATTTCTAAAGTGTGGGGTCAGCATTTCGCTGTCACGATACAGGGACAGGAAATGTAGTTGTTGTCTTTTTTAAGGAAATTTGTAGGAGGAACAGCAGACAGAGCACATTTGAAAGGGAAAGTATTTTGGATGAACAGGAAGTGTTTGACTCGCAGGTATTATGTGTCAGTAAAAGGCAGGCAGTGTTGGTCGAGCTGGTTTGTGGCTCAGCTGTCACTGAAGTTGTAATCAAATTGTACACAGCTTAGTCATATGCAGGTGTGTGAGAATAGCAGGAACTTCAGGGTTTACTGGGAAATGAACATCCAATTATAACTGCAGCAGCTTATGCTGCATTAAAAACCCAGCAGACAGACACACATTCAGGAAAGTCCATTGCAACATATTACCAGTAAACAGCTCTGTCGATAAGCCGGGATTTAATTGCCCCATATTTTAAAGGTGTGTCTGTTTAGTCATTAGTGACAACAATCTTCAGGGGAAACAGAACCCAAAAGTCCACGCACATTTTTTAACACTTTAAGAGTTAATTTAGTCCAAACTTTGTATCAATGAAGAAGCTAACTGGGGGTCAACAGTGGTTGCAAAGGGAATTCTCGTTGACCCTGGTTGACCCCTGTCAACTGAGACATTTTTCATGCTGCAATGACCAACAAGTCTGTTCTTAGTGCTTGTCGTACAGTATGTCGTGTTGTTGTTGTTCTGACCTGAAGAAACCATTTTAAATGACAGATGCCTTCAACGGCCTGAGCTGCATTCTTCACAGCGAGGCCGATGTAGTCGTAGAGCAGAGGGAAACACACAACATTTAAGCTTCGTAATGCACATTAATTCCAGACGAGGTCCAGTCGACCAGCCCTAACCACATCATCACATATTAATGTCAGCAGCTCGTTTTCTTTTCTTATAGACTCTGGGTTATTTTGTAGAAAAATATTTCCAACTGTGGCTGTCATTCTAATAACTGAGTCTGATGGTCTTTAAACGTGTCACTCTTTAAAACTGAATGTGTTAAGGATGCTACGTCCATCAAACACAGAGAGACAGTTTTACACCGTGGGAAGGAGGAAGAATATTAGCAGCTAAAAACCACACACTGGCTGATTTCGTCAGAGTCTTAGCAGTGCATGTTGATGTAATTCACCTTTTTAGTCTACGCCACTGCCCACTCACTGCCAGTCTCACAGTTTCCACACAGGGCAGTGGTGCCTGCATGGCCGACCAGGCTGCACATAATGACTGGGTGCAGTGAAGTCTGCTGCTCTCATGTTGCTGGGACAAAGTCAGAAAGGCTGCAAACGCCAGGCAGAGAGCAGCAGTTGAATAGAATCAGAGTTGGTTTGATGGACAAGAGTTCTGTTTGCCTGTGTCTGTGTGTGCGTGTGTACACACACATGTTGTATGTGTTGGGAGTTTTTTCATGGAATTCCTTTCGCCTCGTCAGCGTTTAGTTGTTTAAATCAATAGCCACTTTATCACGGCCGGGGTGTGACTGTCACATGGTTCTGATTTAGTCTGACCTCAGTGGAGGAGACATGAGACTCTAATGGACGTTAATGTCCACAGCCTTTTCACTCCGTCTAGGTTTCTGCCTCTTTTCACTAAGTGGATTTGAGCAAATAGAGAGCTTCATGGTTTTTTGTGTGACTGATTAGTGATATTCCAGCCATGTGATTCTGTTGCTCCCACACACACGTGTGTGTGTACATGTGTATGAAGTTAATTTACTCAGATTTTGCTAGATTAGTAACTCTAGTATGCATGGAATAATCAATAGTCCCTATTATCTTCATGCTTTTGTTTTTATGTGTGAGAGTGTGTGTGTCTGTGTGTGTGCATGAACCTTCCTGTATGTCATCATAATAAACCTTGCATAACTCCACCCTGGATGGATGATTAGTCCATAGTTAGTCTTTATCTTGCACTAGTAATGATTAAATTATTATGATTAAATGGAAATATTCTTTTTTTTTTTTTAAACGACCTGACGTCCCCCACAGCAACAGTTACAGGTACTGTCAGTGATGGCGCCCTTGTGCTAACTTCCTGTCTGTCGCTGCTGTCAGTCCAACTCTCACTTCTTGACTTGACGTCCCCCACAGCAACAGTTACAGATACTGTCAGTGATGGCGCCCATGTGCTAACTTCCTGTCTGTTGCTGCTGTCAGTCCAACTCTCACTTCTTCCTGTGTCACACTGTGATCAAGTGTAGTGAGGAAACAAGGTGAGGAAGTGATTCGTGAAGTCATATTAACAGGAAGTGAAGCACAAACGAACAACATCGCTATTTTAATATTTTGTAAAGGGGGGGGGGCTTCACCTGGGTCATTCATATGTATGCTACGGGTCACTAATATTTGTCGAAGAGCTTTTCTAGACAGACACCTTGGGGACAGGTGGAGAGCCAGAGTTTTTCTAGACAGACACCTTGGGGACAGGACGTCTAATAAAATGCTTTTAAAATGACTTTTTTCTCCAACATTATTTGATATTTATTTTGATCAGATGGTTCAGTGGGCTAGATTTGGCCCGCAGGCCACCAGTTGACAGTCACTGATGTCTGCTTTTCATCTTCCCACTCACTGACTTAGATTAAATCCAGCTTCTTAAAAATCATTCCTCAACTTGAGCGACCTGTGGCAAACCTTGAAATATGTGGCCATGGGTGTAGTGATTCTGGCCTCTGTCTGAATCTACAGTAAATATTTGTAATGCTGGGTGTGTTTTTGATTCGAAGCGAAACTGCTGGTGTTGGAAACACTTCACACATGATCTGAGTAACAACATGTTTGACTGTATACAGTAAGAAAAACAGGCGCTCACATGTAAATGACTGTTTGTGATTGTATCCAGGGTTTGCTGTGTGGACCGGAGAGGACGGAGGGGGAGCTCAAACCCTAGTCTCCCCAGACCACCCTGAGAGAACCGGCCAGCCATGGATGATCGCTCCTCACTGAGAAAAGTCAGCAGCTCTACAGAGTCCGTGGCCACCGTCACCAGTGAGGAGTTCGTTCTGATACAGACCGGTGCTGCCGGATCACCACACAGTTCTGAAGGGAAACCAAGACTCAAGGTCTGACCTACACCGACCTACACTGACCTACAGCTGTGTCCCTCAAAATTTTAGGAATTGGACCCACTTCTATCTTGAGTTCAGTGATGACGTTTTGTTACTTTGCTTTCTGAAATATCATCACTGAACTCAAGATGGAAGTGGTTTTATTTCATTACCTTCTCATATGTCATAAGTTGAGGTAAACATAATTATATAAATATTTATTGTTCTCATCGAACAAACATATGTTCACCTTCATTTCTTTTTTAGCATTTATTTATGTTTCTTTACGTTGCTTCAGTTTAAGTTCTTGAAACAGGAACTAAAAAATGGTAAAAAGATGAGAATAAAGCATTTCAGCTCTGATAGGAATTAAAAACAATTTTGAATAATTCATTGAATGTGCAAATACTATCAATATATAACCCTTTTTTTTTTGTATTCAATCAATCGTAGATGTCACAACAGTTGGTTTCATTGGACGTTTTGCCTCTTGTTATGTCTAAGATGGCCTGTAACGGCAGTGAACAACTTGAAAAAGCTCTGGATGAAGTGTTAGACGATGAAAACGATGATGAAGATCAGGTGAAAGAGGAGAAGAGCAATGTGGAAAAGATGGAAAAGGAAAAGGACCTCAAGAGCCAAGTCCAGGAACCTTCGCCAACAGGTACGCCACACCATTACACCTTATATTACATCATACTGAGTCTCCTGCACTGGTCCTTTAAGGTTCAGGTATAGACATTTAATATGAGAAGTTCAGCAACAGAAAAAGAATAGTAATAAATAAAATCTAAAACATTTCTTTTCTTGGAAATTTATATGAACAAAAACTTGAAAAATTCCCTCGTTCACATTCCAAACAAATTCCACTGTGTGCATGGTCTGAAATCTCCAACATCTGCTTCAGTATTATCAAATCGGCAAGGCTGGCATCTGATCTCGCCGACACTGGCATGAGCGCTCAGTATATCAGTAAGGACAGGCCGTTCAACACATCTGTCCAAATACTGCACACATACAAGGCTGTTGTATGTGTGACTCAGATTCCTGCAGATGTGTTTTCTTATCTAATTCAGTTCAGTCCAGTTCTTCAACCGCCTGTTTATTCAGGTCAGTGTCTCAGTCAAGTGTTTGATCCGACATCTCAACTTTTAAACTCCTTTGAAACCGTCCGCTCTGGCTGTTCAGAGATGAGAAGCGTGTGCTGTTAAAGGCTGCAGGAGGACAGAAATGATCCAAAGTGTTGTGAAGTTTTTAGTCATGTGTCGAAGCAGCCCTGTGAGGCTCCTCACTCAGGTGAAACTAAACAACTAGTAACACGCAGAGGGAGGAGGAAGTGATGCACATCTTCATCTCTGAAGGAAACTTATCATCATCATCATCATCGAGATCATGATGTGGTTTCTGACAAACAAAAGCTTAGCAAACAGATACAACTGAAAAACCTCAAGGTACGTGCTGCCTTTTGGGGCTTTTTTGGGTTGTGTTTTTGTTGAAGCCGGACAGTAAAATTTGTGAAAAAATTGTCTGACTTCATATATAAATGTTGCAGTCGGTTTGGGTTAAGAAGAGAAGGTTTTATTCCACTTTCCTTTGATTCCATCTGCCAGATGTCTGTATCCAAAAATACCATGTTTCCTAAACCAACGTCTTTTTGGCCGTGCATTTCTGTAAATTGTAACATCTTTTGTTTTCCTGCCACTGTTCGGTGCTGCATAACTGCTGAGCAGGCAAAGAGGAAACGTTTGTGTGTGTGAGATTAACAGCATGTCTTCAGTGGCATCACACTGCTGCTCATTGTTCTGCCTCCGGTTTGCTCTAAGTGTGAGGTTTCCAGGTCAGAGGGCATTTGAGGAAATTGCACCTCTGGCTTCCTGGTTAAGTTTTGTCTTCACTTTTTATGTAATCATGCTGTAAATATCATGGACTAAGGCTTCGTCATCTGACTGGATTCATTTACCAAACACAGTCATATGTAGAGATGAGAATACAGAACAGAGAACCAGCTCAGTGTGGGCCGACCTTCGTCTTCTTACTCAACAATTCCACAGACACTTTTTACTTGACAGGATATTTGCATGAAGACATCACAGGCTCCTTCGTTTGTTTCAGAGTTACCACCATGACGTTGCAGTGTGTTACTGAGTCGCTGTAAGATTCTGTTACCAACATGACGTTGCAGCCAGACGAGTGTGTTACTGAGTCGCTGTAAGATTCATCCACACTATTTTAATGTTACTGAAAACTTAAAAAATGAATTGCTTTTTTTTTCTTGCACACTATCAACCAAGTTCAGTGGCTGAAACAGAAACAGAGTCTAATTAAAAACATCACAGGTTCCTTTAACACACCTTCATTTGCAAAGGTTGACAATTACAATAAGGGTATTCTTTCTCAGTATAGTTTTTATGTCAAGACTCATTAGAGGAAACTCTTTCTTAACAGCAATTTATTTTTTGTTTTTTTTTCTTTTTAAACAGAAGTCTGTCCTGCACCGTCCACCCCCACGGCCCTGGAGGAGGACAGTGTCCAGTTCAACAAACTGTCCTACCTGGGCTGCACCTGGGTCAAAGCCCCGCGCAATGAGGCCGAGGCACAGAGAGCGATGACCACGCTGATAGCTGAGAGTGCCAAACACATCCCCATCACCCTCCACGTCCCCTGTGGACCAGACGGATCAGTCAGGTTAAGACTCTGGGTTCATTTGAACGCTGTCGGATGTAAGAGACCAGGACCAGTCAGTTCAGCTGTAGTTTAATGACAGTAAAGAAACCCATGGAGTCATACGGTGTCATATAGAAGGTAGAATTTCTGCTGATAAATGTAGTGATACATAATTATTTTAAAAAAGAAAATTATAATTTCCATGAAAATTTTGCAACTTTAGGTTGTAAATCAAAAAAGAGAAAGTTCTCAAGGTCAATTCCCTGTATTATACACGTAAGAATGGTCCTTCATTTAAAACACAAAAATGTTTTTGTATATCCATATACACATGTATGTATATGTATACATATGTGCAGTATATATATATATTATATTTTATTTTTATCAAAGGCTAATTTAAAAACAAAGCTAACAAATAGATCTGTGTTCTGTGGTTTTCTCCAGGATTGTGGACCAGGCCTCGGGGACAGAAATCGCCTCGTTCCCCATTTACAAGGTGTTGTTCTGCACTCGTGGACGAGAGGGAACTGTGGACAGTGACTGTTTCTCCTTCACCGAGAGTTACAGAAGTTCTGAGGACTTTCAGATCCACGTCTTCTCCTGCCAAATTAAAGAAGCTGTGAGCTGCATCCACACTCTCCCGTCGTACTGATCTCCAACTTCTTTCTGTTCGTTTTAAACCTGTATCACAGGCTATATGTACAGACGCGATTGAGCCAGCTGGGGGCACTGTTTAATCGTGTCTTCAAAATTTTCTGTAGCGTTTTTACTCATTCTGGTAAATCAGACTTGTTTTGGTTTCTGTTTCTGTGCATTGACGGTATTTATGTGGTTTGTTTCATCTTTTCTTCATTCTACTATTTTGCTAGTAGTGTTTTTTTTTTGTTTTCAGTCTATTTCCTCTATATAACCTGTGTACTTGTTTATTTAATCTTTTCTTCATTCTACTATTTTACTCTTTTTTGTTTTCAGTCTAATTCCTCTATATAACCTGTGTACTTGTTTCTTTCTTTCTGCTTCACCTTGATACCTTGAACTGTTCCTACTAGATTTCAGTTTTGAACTGACTCTCTCTCCCCCTGTCGTCCTCCTCCTCCCAGGTCAGTCGGATCCTCTACAGTTTCTCCACAGCCTTCCGTCGTTCTTCTCGGCCCACAGACATCAGGGACACAATGATGTCCAGTCCGTCTGACAGTGACCTCTTCACCTTCAGTGTGTCACTAGATGTCAAGGAAGATGATGGCAAAGGCAACTTTAGGTACTCAGACCATTCACACACTTTTGAACATGTAGTCATGATCAAAAAAAGCTGATTATTGCATCTTTTGCAATGGTAATAAAAATGTCTCTAAACTCAGATAAAAAACATTATTATCGGGATGGAATGTCAAATATACAATTAACAGATACTTTATTTCAAACCTACAAATGTCAGATTTCTTCATCAGTAATAACTAAACAATTCACAGTATGAAGTAATTTCTGTTTTACTTTCTTTCCTGCAGAGGATTACATTTCCTCTTTAGTCATTTTGAGGTTTTGTTGACTGTATGTGGTGGTCGATACTGAATAAAGTAAGACCTTTTTATTTTAACTGTACCGTCGGTTTCCTTGACTGTAAACCAAACCAAAGACACAGTCAACAGGGGTAAATTACTATATTATTGATAAAAATATAACCTATTATAAAACAAAGGGATTTCCAAATGCATGTGCTGTTAAAATTGTATTAAAGTGCCTCAGGCTTAAACACTTTTTTCCGCCCTCTCTCTGCAGTTCAGTGCCTAAGGACAGAGATAAGTTGTACTTCAAGCTTCGACAGAGTGTACAGAAGAAGGTTGTGGTTTCAGTTCAGCAGATGTGCAACAAGGAGCTGGGCATCGAGAGGTACAGAAGGTCCAGATAAAAAAAAGTACAAGGGGGGGAGAAGTTTACACTATAATGTTATTTTCCCGTGTTAACAGTATGTTAGCAGCGTGTTAGCTATTTAAAACTCACTCACTTTTGTTCCTCATCTATTCATGTATTCATCTCGTGCTGACCTTTAAATCATAATTACTGTAAACTGTTTTTTTTACTTCCCTTCCTGACATAATCCTAACATAATGTCCTTTATACGTAGGAGAAGTTGAATGGTCATTTATTACAAAACTAAATGTTAAATGTTTTCTTCTTCTCTTCTGCAGGTGTTTCGGGATGCTGCTGAGTCCAGGGCAGAAAGTCTCTAACAGTAACATGCATCTCCTGGACATGGTGAGAGCAGCAGACATAACTTCACTCAGCAGATCAACAGATTCCAATAACACTAACCACATCACACTGTTGTTACATGAGTAAACAGTGTTAATTAAAAAAACAGGGTATAATTTGCAGCATTTTTCACTTGATCCAATCACATTTCCCCAAAGAACATGAATCTTCTTGAAACTTCCACAGGAATCGATGGGGAATAGTTCCGATGGAAAGGCCTACGTTATCACGGGAACATGGAACCCCAACATAGCTGCCTTCCAGCCACTGAATGAAGACACACCTAAAGGTGAGACCATATGGTGTCCATGTACAGTATGTCTGTAGCCAAATGGGTTTAGGACAGAGGTTGTGTTTGGAGGATTTTTGTTGTTTATTCAAATCCAAATCCAAACAGTTTTGCTGCGTCTTCTGTTTTTAGTGGTCACAAGTAGAAAAAACAAACAAACAAAAAAACTCTCACTCTAAGCTTTAATTTGATGTACGTGAACTAAAGAATCATCTCTGCTCACTATTCTCTGACTAAAGCTCAAGGTCTGTGTGTTTATAATGAAGTCCAAGCTCTGGAGATTAGATGTGACGATTGTCTTTTTTTCCCCAACATGACTGATAATCCTGTGTCTAATTGGTTTTTGACACTTGGTTCATGTTGACACGTCGTTGCTCAGGAGAGTGTGAACGCAAAGCATTAAGTAGACAAAACAGTCTTCACTATTACAGCAGGAGAATGTTGATGAAAAAAACTTTAGTTGAACTCTCAGCCACTTAGATGTTTAATGCTAATCAAAAAAAAATTTAAATGATTAAAAATGTAATTAAAACATTTAAATGGATAATTTGATGATTGTGGCTTTCAGGTTTATAGTTAACTATAACAGAAGTATAATTTCTGCAAATGTAAATAAATAATATAATTTGATGATTGTGGCTTTCAACTCTAACAGAAATATAATTTCTGCAAATGTAAATAAATAAATCCTTCATTCTCTGAAATATGTGCCAACGTTCTCTGTTTTTATCCTTTATTTTAGTTCAACTGTTCCCAGAATAGACGACAGAAGTGTTAGACCAAGGCTTACATAGACAGTTTTTAAAGACATAATATTTACTATCCAATAAAAAACTGTTGGTTTAGTGTCAAGGCTCATCCAGCTGGAAAATCTTTTTTTCAATACAAACACTGGCGACTTGATGTTCCTATCCACTAGAGGGTGTGACGTTCTCACTGGAGACATGATGTGTGTTTTCTTCCTTCAGGTAGCAGTGAAGCAGGCGGGAAAAAAAACATCTAATCATCAGCTTCTGTTTAGATCGTAGTCAACTGTATTCTATCATATATTAATAGATTTCAATAATAAAACACTATTTGTTGTATTTCTTATCTCTGTGGCAGATAAACAAGTCTTCATGACGGTGGCCGTAGACCTGGTGGTGACGGAGGTGGTGGAACCAGTTCGGTTCCTGTTAGAAACGCTGGTCAGGATTTATCCCTCCAACGAACGCTTCTGGTACTTCAGTCGCAAGACCTTCAGCGAGACGTTTTACCTCAAACTCAGACAGGTACATTCACAAGAACTGTGTTGTTACGCTGCAGCGTAAAACCTTGACTTATGGAAAGACCCAGAGTAAGAACAAAGAAGGACGACGGATGTAGTAGTTTGATAAACATGGTGGAGTAATACTGCAGTTTTTTTTCTCTGTAGAAATGACCATGAAATTAACAACAAGCTCATTGATTTTATTCTGTTTTATTCTTAGTCAAATCTAATGATGTTTTCCCATATACTTGTAAAGTGGTTAAATATAAACTACAGCAGTCGACATAATAATTAGACACGTCAAACTCCGGCCGTGTTTCCCTGAGTTATTTAAGTCCAGTTCATTATTGTATCTCATTATCACATATGTCTCAGAGGTTTTTACTGCCCACAGAGGAATCAGCAGCTCCCGTCCTGGAACGAGGCTGTAAAACAGATGAGCGATGGTGGAGTGGGTGGTGGGCAGCTTGAAAGATGAGTGTAGTGGAGGAGGAGGTCAGAGGAGACAGTCTGGACATGGTGCTGGTTGGTTGACAGTGAGCAGGGCTGAAGCTGTTCCCACACTGACTGAAACACTTGCTCAGTGTTGCAATATAACAAATACACCCAAAGATAAACTTTTTTTTTTTCTCACCGGTTCAGGTTTATTGTTCTCTTTCCATCTGTGCATTTCCCACCGCAGCGATCAGCCAAAGTCTGACGCTCTCTCTCTGTCGACCTGGTGTAAAGTGGTCGGTGGTTTCCTGCCTCTGCTGCAGATCTGTACCAGTGTAGATAATAATTCATCTCCAAAAGTAAGACCAATATTTTAAGATATATATTTTAATTCGTGAGAAGGTCATAAAAGTCATAACTTACCTCCTGCGTGAATAATTTAAATTTATTAAAGATTTTTTGTGAAAATATTTCATGTGTGCTACTAATTTATTAAAGATTTTTAAAAAGTTTTGTGAAAATATTTCATGTGTGCTACAGTATGAATGCACTCCTGCTTTAGTGAGGAATTTACTGTTGATTTATTTCCAAGGGCACCTTCAAGGCAGACTGAAATTATTTTATATTCATTTTCATAGCAGTGATAGAAAATGATTTTGTCCTTTATTAGGTTTTAAAATCTAAAGTGCAATTTACGATAAGTCAGAAGGAGCTCATTGTAAATTTGCATCCGAGTGAAGCTGCTCCTTGGGTTGGATGACTGTGTTGGGGGGTGGTGCTGCAAACTAGATGTTAGTAAAACCTACACAGTGTTACTCCAGTGTATGTTGCTGTGTGTTTATCACTAGATGGTTCTCGCTTGCTTTGAATGTACAGTAGGAGAGGGAAGAGTGCACCGTCACTCACCTCCCACCGACACAAGGACAGGCATCGAACAGTTGGCGTCGGTGCCTAAAAGAACCAGTTTAAGCTGTGCCGCCCTGCCTCCCTGTGAAGAAGCACATCTCCTTCAGCCGGGGCCGTGGGGATCTGGCAGTGAAGCAGTGAAGCGTAGGAAAGCTGTGGATTGTAGGGAGCTAATAAGAGCCTTTGTTGCATTATTGGCATGTGGGTAATTAACAGCCCCTGTCTGACTCATCCCACTGATTTGCTGTGCAGTTATCTCCTCGGTAAATGGAGTGTCTGACTGGTGTTGTGGTTAAGAGCTAATTAAAAAAATTTGTGGGGAGGATTTATTTATTTAGTTTTTTTGACCAGAACCAGAACGTAACACAAAACAACGTACAGTCTTTGTTTTGTTGTTGTTTTTTATTTTAGCAAACTTTGGATAGAGTTTAGTAAAATATATATGGGGTATATGCTCAAAATACAATGCTAACTTTGTTGCTGGTTTTGCTGGAAAAGTTGCAAAGTTGAGGATGTTGTGCCACTGAAGAGCTGCTTATCAGTTAGTAATCAAATGAGTACATATTTATTCATTTTGTTGTCTATGGAGGTGTTACAGGTTTCAGGATTCACTTCCTGAAACCAGTGATTTTAGGTTCACTACAGACTAACTTTCTGTCGCAGCCAAATCGATATCGTCAATATTCATCCAGAGCATTAACCGTTCATCCAACAGAACACGTGTTACCTAAACCTTTGTGTATTTCTTCTAAAAATAGACGAAGTCTGATTTTTTTTTCCCCTCTCAAACTTGTGCTCTCATCACTGACTACAGTTGGTCTTCAAACGCCCGGCAATCAATGCAGCTTATTGATCGATCCTCCTAGGTGCAGAAGTGAGGCATCGCCACTACAGTAATTGAATAATGCAGGGATAAAAATCAGTAGCTTATGACACTAAAGGTCAACTCTAATAGTGTACTCGATCTCATGCTGCTATTGAAGTCTTTTTTTACAATTACATAGAAAACGAGTAAGTCTTAATGAAGACTAATGATATAATATATTTGTTTAGAGTTGACTCTAGGAGATCTTTTTTTTTTTTTTTTTTTTTCTCCCCAAGTCAAGTGTTTGTTGAAGCCCTTGTGTTTTTTATCCCTGCGTCGTACCCACTGAGGCGTGTTATAAAAGATTTTATCGTGGTTTTGAACTTTACTGTTTGTTTTTGTTTTTTTACACAGCAGGTACCAGAGAAGGTGGGTCAGAGCGATGCAGTGTACGAGGTAGTGAGTCTTCAGAGGGAAGCAGAGAGAAGCAATGAGAAGAGGGAACGACTGACTTCTGCACCTGAGGAAGAGGAGGCTGAGGAAGGTAAAATTCTATTTTTTTGTTGTTGTTTTGTTACTGTTTACATCCAGCTCCTACAGATGATCGTTCTCTTGGACATTCTAATTCCAATTATCTCTGGGCAACTTCTGGCCCCTCCTTTTCTGCCTCATACAAACCTGATGACAAAACCTTCAAGATCAAGACAAGTACTAAAGAGCAGATACAAAACAGCTGATCTACACTGAATCATCCGCCTGCAGGCACTGTGCAGAACTGCATCTTATATTCATAGTCGGACTGTGGCTAAATAACGTGTCCTAATTTAATGTCGAAATAGAAATGAGCCAACAGAAAGATAAATAAATAAAAAAAACCACAGGCTGTCGACTGATCTACATAAGGTTCTCGCTCCAGTGTCTTGAATGAATCTAAGAAATATATAAACGTGACCATTAGAGCTGATATTGTTCTTACACTCCCAGCTGGAGGTCTGCATCAGATAAAAGCAGCCGGAACAATCACGGCAGCAACACTTGCAGTTAAACTCCAGGGGGTTCCCAAACATGACCCAGTTTTAGCCCGGCAATTTAAAAACAGCTCTGCTGGTATCACATCGACACGGGCTCAGTGGTGCAGGTGTCGCAGATAAGGTACAGTTTGTAACATTAGGGACATGAGCAGTTCATGAAGGTACTAGTTTATATGGACGTGTGTTTGGGAGGATAAACGACAAACAACAACAAAACACATTTGGTTCATAAGTCACTTTAACGATTAAAATCCACCACGTTTCCCTCTATACAATTAAAATAATAATAATATATATATATAATTCTGTAGTGTGTATTAGGGACCATGTACTGTAAGGATCGAATCATATTGTGCCATACAGCCACATGCATTTAATCAGTACCTCAATATATAAAGTATGTTTAGTTGGTAAAAATCTGTGCGTCTGAAAATAAGCCATTCCATTTGACTCGTTTTGTGATGTCACAATGTGGGTAATTACAATAATCCCTGTCTGCTATTAAAGCTAATGGTGAATCCTATCACAGGTGGGAGGTACACGTAGAGTACACATCTGACAGACTGCTTAAATACAACCAAAAAGCCAAGCATTAAGCACAACCTGTTCATTTAGCAAAGCACTAAATGAACACAAGCTACGTTATGTAAACGCTGTCATCATTATTATCATTATTATACTTTTCCTGACTTTATTCTGTTTAGTGGTTTTCTTTTTTTATATATATTGGAAAATAGTAGAAATAAGTCAAAATGGCAGGAGGCCAAACTTGCCTTTTTTCACTCCTCAGGACTAAAGTCACAAGTCAGCCATTGGGGGTTAAAATGACAGCTTTCCACAGGCATGTTGAAAGCCTTCCCTGGGTTTTTTTTTTTCCATCACACCTCACTCTCTCCCAGAGCTGAATATTGGAGGCTGCGGAGCTGCTGGTCTTTCTTCTAGTTTTCAGAAATGCACACACAATCACACACACGCGGAGGATATGTGATTTTTCTTTCCCCCTCTGAGGCTGAGTTTAGAAATAAAGAACAGACATTGAACATCATCTCTTTTCATCGTGGTTTTGTTAGGATGAGACAGTGTCCTGCTGTTTGGAGAAAGTCAAATAATAAAAAAAATAAAAATATCAGCTTTCATTGCTTGGCTTAACCATGAAAAACCCATGTTCCCCATCTTTGTGGTTAATTTGTCACCTGGTACAGTAGGAGAGTGATGGCTCTGGGTTGAGGATTTTTCACACCATCTGACCTTAGTCATCTTGAGAACAAAAGCCGCCCGGTCTGGACTACTTGAAAGGATTCATCAAACATTTATAAAGACCTGAAGAGTGCCTGCTGAGACGGCGAGGATGAATAGTCGTACAAGAACATTAAGTGCTGTGGCTGTAGGCCCTGGATCGAAACGTCTCCATGTCTTGTTCAATCCCTGAGCCTGTGTCAGTTTGTTTTAACTGTAGGTGTCACAGTTTAGCTTTTATCTCGAGAGGAACATTTTGCAATAATAATTTCTTCCTTTTTTTTCTTCCATAAATCTTCTTCCTTCTCTACAAGGGGGAGAAGAGGGTGTAAGAAACCATTGACCAGGGGTAAAAAAAGCTATTGAAATATTTTCCCTACAAACGAGCTCTAACAGCTGTAAGATACCATTGAACAGGGGTAAAAACAGCTATTGAAATATTGATGATAAAAATGTAACCTTTGAGTGCATGTCTTACCAACAGTGCACAAACAAGTAGTGTTTGTACACAGTATATGGAGAAGGTTCCACTAAATCATCAACAGAGTCAACATGGATCACAGATCCAGGTTGAGTTTGGATGAGGATGAGTTTGATATGTAAAAAAAAAACAACATTGTTTGTTGTTGATGAAGGTTAATATGATTCTTGCTTTGAAAAAATATTTTTGAACTGAACCAGATTATTTATTAATGTACAGTAAAGGCAAATTAATCCATTTATTCCACCGTCCACCCTCTTCTGTATGAGTTTGATAGGTTAAAAAAAAAAAAAAACTTCTGTATGAGTTTGATAGGTAAAAAAAACAAAACATTGTTTGTTGTTGATGAAGGTTAATGACGGTGTGAGACAAATGCCCTGTTTTTAACAGTGTGTGCGTTTCTTGCAGATAGCGACAGCGAAATCTCAAGTGGAACAGGAGATGTTTCCAAAGACTGTCCTGAGAAAATTCTGGAGTCCTGGGGAGCGATCCTCACCAGATGGTAAGAGAACCGAGGAGAGTGAATGGAAGGATTTGGAGAGGAGAGATTTAAAAATAGGGGGTATTCAATTAGAGACTGTCAGTTAGCCCGGCGTGTTAGAAAGACAGGTTGAAAGACAGAAACGAGGAGGAATGGAGATAATGTAACATCACGGACGTAGAGGAGAGTGATGGCAGTGAATTATGAATCTGCAGACTGTTGTTGAAACTGTTTCCTCTGCCCAAGACCATCATCAAAAAGTTGAAAATGAGTTCAAGTTTAAAATATGAAAATCAATTGTAATGTGAGTATCAAGCTCAATATAAACATCCTACAGTATATAGTAAATAAAATGTGTCCCGTTTAAAAATGTTGACATTTAGGATTTGGTTTATGTTTTAAATGTATTTAATAAACACATTGATTTAAACTCAAAGCAACAATTTTGTTCAAACATCACCGCAGTCACTGTGTTTGTTGAATAAGTCACAGCATCATCAGTACAGGTCAGGATATGGTTAAAGGTGTAAACTTTAAGTACAATAAATTATCAGTACACTTAAACCCATGAATGCTATTATTCTTTTTAGCCAAAGGAGCTATGACAAGATGAAGTAGCTGTGAGGAGTAAACGTGGTTCATTATACACACAGTGCCGACTTTGATTTATAACACGCTGGACTTTGTTCCTCTTCATTATCACGCTTTAATTTGTTCATCATCTGAATTTTACGGATAACAACTTGGCTCATAAATTAATCTGCAATTACAGTGTCATCATTGCGCTTTTACTGTAACCACGGCTGATACATGACACGACTTCAGCCACGGGCGCTGACATAATTAACGGAATAAAATATTACGTTATTATACCGACTTTCACTCGTTTCTCGGCCCATTTTCCCCCCGTTGCATCAGCACAACACTGTGAATCAGTTAATGGGGAAATCACCTTCATGTGCCTTCGACAAATGCATTATGATGAGATTTCAAGCGTCATTAAAAAGAGCTGACGGGATGAATTCCACAGGAGGCCATTTCACCGCGTCGCAGGATGTTACCACGGTGCTGTGGCAGCAGTGCAACAGTCGAGACATTTAGCCTCGTCGCTGATACAGAAATCAATAGTACAGTACAATGCAGTGAGGAATGATGTTCAGGAGTACTGTCACCCAGCAGCATCAACGGCTGGCTGTGAAGAAAAACCCTGGGTCCAATTAGAAAATGACATACTTCTCATATAAAACAATTCTGATTAGCCTGTTTGAAGACCAATCAACCCTGTGCTAAATTAATAGTAAACAAATATATGCTGACTTCATTTTTCACCTCAGTGTAAGTGCTTGTTGGTAGATACTATACTGTCATTTTTAAAATGTGAAATGAATAATTACTAATAAAAATGTGTCTGTTTGCATCAGGCATGGGAACCTGTCCACCCGTCCAAAGGGACTGTCCTCGCTGGTCCGCAGCGGTATTCCTGAGCCGCTCCGAGCCGAAGTTTGGCAGCTGCTGTCCGGTTGCCATGACAACGGGGAGCTCCTTGAACTTTACCGCATCCTCATCACCAAGGTAAGAGCACAGGCACATCAGTGAAGGACACGGATTTGTTTGCACACGAGGCCTGGTGTTGTTATGTGGGAGTCTGTGGTTGAACGGCAGGACGGCTGTTGAGAAACAGTCAACTCTACAGGTGGTGTTGGTCCACATGAAAATACACATGATACATTTTCACTGCAAGTTGAAGTTTTTGTACGATTGCAAGTTTGTGTTCTTTTTTTGACATGACGTTGAGCAACTCAAAATGACCTTGTGTTGGAGCAGTAACACACTTTCATTTATCATACACGTCCATCTTTTTCTTCTTCTTTCTTTGTTCTCCTTTCACTTGTTTTTCCTATTCTTCTTTCTATTATTCGTCATCTCCTACTTCTTCTACATCTTCTTTCGACCTGGTCCAACATGCATTTTTAATGAGCCGAGCAAAAGACACAAGATATGTTTGTTTTTCCTCTTTAATGTCATAAATCACACCATTTGGATTGAGATGCAAAAATATCCTTTGGGTCGAAAAGTTGCATAATTAAAAAATAACAAGGATATAAAGAAAGAGCAGATGTTAACAGTAACAACACATCTGTCTAATTTTCTCTTATTTTAAAGTTTAACCATTTCTGGTTTGATGAGTTCATACAGACACATTTCATTAAATGCTCTTCATTTAATTATAGCTCTGAGTATTTCTGCTGTTAAAACTGTGTGAACTGTTATCACATGACCTGCATTCAATTGGCTATTGATCATAGCCCACCCCTTGGTTACATTTAAATCTTTATAAAGACACAGAGAGAGAGTGAGATGCTGGCTTGTATAGGTAATATAAAAGTCTTTCTCTATGTTGCTGCAGAAAACTGAGAAACCTTTTAGGATCAATGAGCAGGAAAAGAAGGCAGGGAGAGTGGAAGTCAAAAAGGGCTGAAAGCCTGTGGACACTTGAATATGAGGTTGTAGATACTGGAGGATCAGGAATAGGTGTGAAAGTCTGTGTCATTGGTCTGGATCTGTTTCAGCTGCCGTTCTCGACTCTGATTCTCTACCGTCCTTGTCCTCTTGTTTCATATGCACAGCTGTGTCGACCTCTCAGTCGTGTATTTCGCCTATTGGTCTATTTTATACCATGAATTCTTTTTGTCTCTGCGATGTACAGTGATTTCTCTTTTTTTTTTCTCCCACTGCATTTCCCTTTTGTTACATAAGACAGAGATAGTTCAGCTCATTATTCTCATTCCTTTGGCTTGGCCACACCCCCCTCCTCCCCGCCCCCCTCCTCACCTCCTGGGTCTTACTGGAGTAGTGATGGTATTGATAGGCGAGTGGCAAGGCTATTAATAGCTGCACCAAATGAATGGGATAAGGAGAAGATGGAGGAGGGAGGGGGCGACGGCAGAGGAGCAAATGACAGCAGTGGTGAGGGCGATGTGGGGCTTATTAATGTCTGTTGTCTGGGCTCAGTGAGGATATTAATGCTGATTGAATTCTAAGTAACTGGTCTGTCGCCAATATGGATTGTGTACCGGGGTCGTTAATCAAGCAGGCTTCTCGACAGCCACTGTTGTGTGTGGGTTTCACTTGCACGTCTGCAGTTTATCACCTCCACAGAATACTGTTTTCTTTATTGTACATGTTTGGTAGAGGAACTCGTTCGAGGCTTTGTCTTTAATAATAGATGTCTAAGAAACACAGCACAGTCAAGTGGACTCGGTGTTGGGCTCCAGCAGATCTAAATTTCTTAAATGGATATGTGAAAAGTCCAGGTCATTTGTTTAACAATTGTATAAAAGAAAATAAAAGTTTTTGTTTTAAATGTTCCCTCCTATCTGTTATTAAGTATTTATTGTAACTTCCCTCATTTTTCACTTCGAAGTCAGGTTTTTATCTTAGTTGTGAATATATGGTTTAAATTGTTAGAGAAGAAAAGTGAAGGAATTAATTTCATTTAACTGACGAAGGTATAAACTAATACGATCCACAAAGTTGTTTGTCAGTGCTTCGGATGCTGCCGACTGGAAATATCCACCCTTGGAAAATGGAGCAAGTAGGTGGCAGTAATGCAATTTAAAGAGATGATGAGTTGCTGTTGTAGAGAAAGCAAAGTAGTCGGTGCACAGGGCGACCTGAACTCAGCCAAACCACCGAGGAGACAAGGGATTTTTTTTTCATGGCTTAATCTGCTGCATTATGAGGAGATCATACTGTTATTTTTTCACTTATTTGACCTGAATTATATCTCTACGGTGCCTTGATGGCATTACCTTCTTGTACCTGTAACTGAGTGAGTCTTCACCTTTTCTAATTGGCTCACTTCAATTGACTCGTTCCATGTCAAACTGACTTTACCTTAAATTACCTTCAGATGAGACGGTGGCTCATAATGAGCTGATGGCGCTCACACACACACACACACACACATATTTTTAAGGAACCGCTTGACAGTTTTATTTTTTCTGTGTGAGAACCTGTCAGTCTTCACTTATCCAGCATTTAGTGGAACGTGGCCTTTGGTCAAACAGCTGAACATTATAGATTGCAAGTGTCATGTTTGGTGCCGTGCTGCTCATTTACAGTCATCACACACTCTGTCACAAATGCACACTCTGTCACACACATTATGGCCCCAGGCTTGGTGAGACATTCACAAATAAGTCTTTGGTCAGCGGGTGTTGTGTTTGGGGTTGTGGGGGTTTTGGTGGGGCCTGACATTTGGAACAACCTTTTGGTCTCCCCAGAGCCAAACAACCCTGAGGTGTACGGCACGCTTCAACCACCAGCTTAAAAAAGCTCAGCCAGCTTTTTTTCATGCCCACCTCCGTAGATCCTAAGCTCACACACACACACACATACACACACACGTGCACCTAACCTGAAACAGTGCATTCATGGAGGTCGGGGTCTGTACTAAGACGCTGGAGCACAAACTACAAAGAGCTCTATCAAGTATGCAACTGAAGGTCGTCCGGAGAGATTGTTTCCCCAATAGAATCCATAATTATTTTCCCTTTTCATCTTTTTATTGTCTATTTTTTCCCCCCACATGTTATGGTATTTTATCACTGATTTAACAAGTGTTACTGCTTCATACAGAGCAGGAAGTTTAAAGTTTCCAAAATTATTTCTTTTGAAGTTTTTGCAATAAGACAAATGTCAACGAACTATGGAACAAACATTTCTGTTTACACTGACAAACTGAATTCTATTTATCAAACATTACAGTAAAATAAGTCAAGTCAAGGCATGTTAAGTCTGGATCAAATCCCAGTTAAAAAACAAACAAACATTTTTGTTAAATTTCTGTACAAAGTGTACAAACGTCTCTGAAATAAGATATTTATAAGATACATTTTTTTTTTTTTAGAAAAAGAATCAAGCCTTGCCGCAGCTCAGTAATTGTATTTAAAATTGATGTTTGAATTCAAAGTAGCATCAGCCTAGCCCTGCAACCAGGTTCAGTAGTGTTGCACCCACGCCTGATATCCCACATACAAATAGATGGAGTGTAATGTACATAAAACAGGGCTGCCATGGTAACTGTAAGGGTCTGTGGACTCTGCATGAAGTTGTCTCCATGACAATTCTGTCTCTCCTTCACATTTTACCTCAGTTCATGAAGGGCAAGCAGTTTGGATGATTAGAACAGAAGTGTGTTGGTGACTCAGCGCCAAATTTCTGCTCATTAAACAAATGGCATGAAGACGGAGTGCTTTAGTTGAGAGAATGGTTTGAACTGTCCATGTAAGAAATGTTTAGTCGCATACATTGTCTGGATCTGTGGTTCCCAACCACTGTGCTGTGGAAAATTATCCAATTTCACTTAATTGGCCTGAAAACTGATATTTATTTATTGCATATACTTTTTCTTTGTTTGTCAAAACATGAAAGGCAGAACTATTGAATACTTTTCTGCTAGGGGGCAGCAGATGGCTATGAAAACTAAAAAAGCTAATCAGAGCTGTTGAAGAAGATCTTTGTCTTTCTTCAATTCCTGCCAGTATGTCAGTGTTGTTTTCAACTAAACAGGCCGAGATTTTAGTCAATTATCAGGTCATTTAAACTAGAAGATCATTATTATTATTTCATTACATATACTTTTTTGTGAGATTTTTGTTAGGTGGTGTGCCGTGGCTCAAAAAAGGTCGGGATGATTCCTAGAATTCATTAATTAACTAATGTTATACTAGATTTTGGTCTTTTTCAACTGAAAATTATGAGCTGAGGTTGAGAAATGTCCAAAAGCAGAACTGCTGCAGATGCTGGTGATGCCACAGAGTTACAGGCTTCACATTGATGGTGTAAAAGGAAGATCCCATGCATTCTCATAAACATAATCAGAGATTCTTCACTGAAGAGTGTGCACGTCTGTACAGTACAGTACATGTCTGGAACAGCTGCACGGTGAGTCTGCAGCACGGCCACCTCAATAAAGGGGTATTCACTGCACCCCCTCCCTTCCTGGGTCTGTGCATGTGTCCATAAAGCCGCCCTAAAGGTCCCATTAACATCCACTGCATGAACCCACGAGGCGGCATGAAAGGGACAGTTCTCTGTTATACAGCTACAAACCTAAATGTCCAGAGAAGAAAAAAAAACATGCAGCAATTTTGGAGGCATTGCGTTATTGTGAAATATGAAAATAGATAAACAAGTTCAATGTTGTTTAAAACTAATGGTTTATTTAAAGATTATCAATATTTACTGTTACAGTTACTGCAGTGTGCAGAATTAAAAAAGAAACAATTTTCTGTAGAAATATTTTTTGACAATTGACTATATCTGCTAAAAGTGCAAAACAGGCATAAAGCAACATATAGGTAAACAAAAATACTTTACCATAGAATTAAATAAATGTTGTCTTATTTTTTAGTATTGATATTGTGTTGCACTTGTCTGTAAAACGTATAATATGATCTGACAGGAAATTATTCCTAAAATTTTAATGTTGAGCTAGAAATTAGATTTACTGTGAGTTTTTAGGGGGAAAAAACTCTCTTATAAAAACAGTGATGCTATTTAGTTGATTATTTGTATTCAGTCCTCACACATGACTAAAAGATTAATGTTACATCCTGACCTAGAGTCCAAGGACAACAGAAGCTACAGTACAGTGAATATAAACATCTAAACCTGAATGGCCACAGAGGTCTTCACCAGCATGTGCTGTGAGATTAGATGAAGATGATGGATGGTGGTTTCAGTAGACACCCTGGCGTTGACCTTTAGGTTGTCTCTACCCACATCACCACTCAACTGTATTAATGCAGGTGTACATGTAGTATATGTGAGCAAACGGAGAAGATATTTTTTTGTTCTAATGATGTTTAGTATTGGTGTCACATGATAACCAGCTAAAAAAAAAAATCTAATCTTTCACATTAGTTGTTTATATTCCCACTTACATTCACTTTAAAGAAGTGTCTTTAAAACAAATAACTGAATTTTGAGTCATTATTTCTGAACATATTAGCTTTGGTCTCAAATTCATCTTTAGTGCAAAACTTAAATTAAATCTGAGAGCTGCAAACAGACAAGAGCGGATCCACAACTGTTGATAAAAGTAACTTCTGGCCTCTGTCTGCTAATCCAGGGTTTAGTGTTGGTCCACTGGTACTGATGGCTGAGCAGTGAACCTTTGCTAATCTGCCACATTCACCAAATGTCCTTAAATCGTAGATCCAGACATCGAAACAAAAGGTTAGTCGCTGATCAGAGCTGCGATGTAGAAGTCACTTTGGTGTGACATGAAAACATTTCCAACTATTCGTGATCTTTTAGGTGTCACATAAACCTGTATTTGTCTGTTGAAGGTTAGTCGCGACTAATCGTGATCTTTTAAGTGTCACATAAACCTGTATTTGTCTGTTGAACAGTGTGTTTTTGAAGTGAAACAAACAAACAGCAGAGGGATTCCCAGTTTTTCCTTTTTTTTTTTTTTTTTTTTTAGAAAAAAAATATCCTGTCAACCTGCCTGAATATCTTTTTTTTTAAATCATTGAATCATGTTCTGAACACATTCTGTGAACACATTCTGCTGCGTTCAGCCAAACTCCACCATGGTGCAGCTCACTCACTGTCTCAATGTGTTGTTTTGATGTAAATGAAAGACATTCTTTTGCTGTACTGGTAAACAGAGACTGGTTCAACACCTCTGTGACTGGCAGTAAGCATCGTTTATATGGATTTAATAACGGCTTCAATGCAGTTGACCTCAGAATGAAGACATTAATCACATGAATCAGTTTGTAAAATTAATCAGATTAAAAATGTAATCTGATTTATTAAAACAAAATCAACATCAAGTTTTATCCATAGCCATATGATTTCATCATTGGAATTTTTTATTTTTTTTTGTCATTTTTAGGAATTTTGATTTATAGAGGCTGTAGTTGTTATGTTTTGTTTTTTTTCCCCACTGGATGCCCTTCCTGACCCCACAACCTGAAATGTGGTGACTAGTTGATGTTTAACCTAGACCCACCTGGTGGCAGGCAGGGGTCTGAACGCTGTACTACTACTACAAATGTTACTACTACACTGCACCACCACAACACTTACTACAGTACTTCATTGACCTGTTTTTTTTTTTTAATCCTGGTTTTTTTTTTAAAAGGTAACTAATTATTGGTAATTCTCCAATATTGAGATATTAAATACTGGTTTTTAAACTACTTGTTACCACAGGCTGGATGAGTGTGTGATGTAAGGAAGCAGTGAAAGGTGAAACAGCCTCCACCTTTGTTTCCAAGTAGCCCTGCTGGCTTTGTTTTTGAGCAAAATGAATTATTAATGGTGCCCTTCTGGTCGTGTTTTTCATCAGCGTCCACCTGCAAAGTGTGCATGATGAGAGAACTTCATTGACGGGCCGCCTCCATAGTAACGTCACAACATCCTCAGACTTAAATGTGCCTCTTCCGTCAAAGCTTTTTCCATGGTGTAGCTGAATGGATCAGCATAGACTGTTAAAAAAATGAATAAGAAAAAAAAGAGAAACACAGAGAAACCCTCTTTCTCTGCCCAGACCTGATTCTTGCCATTTTTTTTAAATGCCCTTCTCGTCAGACACTTGGCTTTTAATTCATCCTCTTAATCATCATCCGTTGGCCTAAAGAGGACGTGCCCAAAGCCAAAAAATGCTTGGCAGCTAAATTTTGCAGGGCGGAATTTACTGTACTAAACTGTTGGAACGAACTAAGGAGGCACACAGGAGAAAGCAGTCCTCCACAGTGTGTCGTTCATTATCAATTCATGCTCCTGTCTTGCAGTGATGATAGTTGATAGTTGAAAAAACATCGAAATCCACCTCCGAAATCAAATAATCTGCCAAACGGGGCCACGTGTCGTTCCAATCCAGTTCTTAATTCTAGAGTTATATAGAGAGATGGGACTTGAACGTAATCTCCTCGGTGAAAGTAATTAAGTACCAAGAGCCTAAATGGATTAGGTCTATTTTATCAGGACAAATGGTTCACGACAGCTTGGGATTAGTGTTGTGGATGACATCATAAATATATGTACAAGTACGTGTTAGTAAAGGTGGCAGAGAAACACGGCTGTATCCGGTAAAATCAGTAAATATGAATTGTTCTGAAGATCATTGTGAATAAGGCTCTTTTATTATTGATATTATAAATGTAGGCAAGTGGTTAGTAGTTTGAAGAAAGAGTCCTAGCTGGAACAACAAGGGGAGATGGAAAAAGGGTAAGCAGGATGTGGGAGGATGGCCAGTGTGGGAGGGAAATTCAGTTAATAGAAAATAGACCGAGAGATAAGTAATATGTAAATAGGGAATGTATCCAAATTTACCTCTGCGAAAGAGCCAACGTGTGAGACGGAATAATGTGGCAGGGGGCCTCAGGTGCAGCTGGAGGAACAGGAGGTGGGGCGACGAGCGGGAGGAAGCAAGAGGAGGGAAAGAAAGGAGGGTTTGAGTGTGTGTGCGTGCATGTGCGGGTGTGTGCATGTGAAGAAAGAGAGAGGGAGAATGAGTAAGCGAGGAAGAGAGAGTGTGTAGGGAGGGAGGGAGTGAAGTGAAAGGCAGCCACAGCATCTCTCCTCACTGCACCAGGACTGAGGGAGTCTTCATCTCTTTGCTTCTCTCACTGCAGATTTTACTCACTTTCATCAGCACACTCATCCTTTTTCGTTGCCTTTCAGTAGCTTCTGACAGGGACACTGCATCCATCTCCTTCCATACTCTAGAATGTCAGGATTAATGAATTGGAAACATGCGTTGTCCTGTCTAATGGAATATTGAAGGGACTTGTGCAGAGGACAGGGCTAAAGACCGAGACTCCTGCTGAGAGGCTGCTCTTTTTTTCTTTTTTTTTTAATGCTGCTGTTGTGGATTCCTCTTTTGTCGCCATGCCTGGGTTTTGTCAAGACACACAGAGAAAGGAGTGACAGCGAAATTGTGGTTTAATCCACTAAATACAAGACAGAGTTCGTACTTTAGAGGACCAACGGAAGTTGCACATTAGTGGTTGTCCCTTGAAGGAGTTGCTAAATTTCTTCCTGTGACTGCTGCAGAGTGTCACAACTAAATGCGATCCGGTAAATGCGATAATTAAGTGGACTGATGAATAGTCCCTACACCCCTTCCTGTATGTGTCTGGCAGAGGATTGCTGAGGAGCCAAAGTGAGCGGAACACTGAGTTATTCAGCCGGCCTCACGTCATCGCTCTAGGAGAGTCCTTTCAGTCGCCTGCATGGAAGACAGACATTCAGTGCTTTCGTCATTTTCAAGGATTTTGATTTTGTTTCTCTTACGCAAATTGCAGTCCAGAACACTGTGAGGCAAGTTTGCTTAATTTTTTTGTGCATTATCAACTTTAATTTACATGGCAGATTTAACCTCCTCTTTCCCCGAGGATGCCACAGTTCAATCTCTTGTGCCATGTGTGTCGAAGAAGCCGAGACATTTTCCCCTGCAGAGGTACCTTTGTTCTACTCCAATAATAGTTTGACATCTGAGCAAAGTCTGTAGCACACTGAAGGTTTGGATTGTCACCAAAATGGGAAAAAATCTGCACCAATACAAACTCCAAGGCTTTTTTTCACCCTGAAAGAATTTTTTTGACAAAGCATTTGTTGGTTATGACAAATTTCCTCTGAGGTTTTCCTCCACCAAGATCGTTCTCTCTCTTTGTACCGACAGTTTATGTTCCTTGTTTTCCAGTGGCAACAATTTAAAGAAATCAGAAGATAAGACGAATGGAAAAAAAAAAAAAAAACGGGTCTTTGGGAAAAAATGCTGTCCGCTGCACTAATACTGCACCGCCTTAGGTCAAAGGATGGAATACAGCTTTTGTGTTCTGTCCGTCACTGACTGTTATCTACCCCACTTACTCACCAACAATGAGTGATTGGAAAGGCAAAAATAAAGAGGCTGTCGTACTCTTCCGGAGCCTGTATTGATTTACTCAAAGTCAGCTTTCATTAGTGTGAGGCCCAGCCATGTGAGAATAAAGTGAATAAGAGACTGAGTGTGTTTGAAAGACCGAGTTTGGAGCTCAGTTAACCGAGGCTGGCTGCAGATGCTCCTAAAACACAGGAGGGGGGGCAGACAGTTCTCCACTTTCAGGCCAGCTGCCTTATGGGTGGCACACCACACAACTGACCTACCTGGAATATGTCCAGAACAATGAACCAGTCTGAACTGTCAACAGACCTGGTGGTTGCTGCCAACAGCAGTCACGGAGTCCTCATTCCGAGAAGGAGCTCCAACCACTCCTGTCCCCTGGGCTGGGGCTTGAACGAAGGCTTGGAGACTTGTGTCCTGGAGACCGCTGTGATCGTCCTTCTGACTGTGCTCATCATCGCGGGAAACCTGACCGTGATCTTTGTGTTCCACTGTGCTCCCCTCCTGCACCATTACACCACCAGCTACTTCATCCAGACCATGGCCTATGCTGATCTGCTGGTGGGTCTCAGTTGCCTGGTGCCCACTTTATCCCTCCTCCATTACCCAGCAGGTGTCCAGGAGCCCATCACATGTCAAGTTTTCAGCTACGTCATCTCTGTCCTGAAAAGTGTTTCCATGGCCTGTTTGGCCTGTATCAGCGTGGACCGATACTTGGCCATAACCAAACCACTATCTTATAACCAGCTGGTGACGCCGTGCCGTTTACGGGGCTGCATTTCCCTCATATGTGTCTACTCCAGCCTGGTTTTCTTACCTTCCTTCTTTGGCTGGGGTAAGCCAGGGTATCACGGCGACATCTTTGAGTGGTGTGCTCACTCGTGGCCAACCTCTGCCCTCTTTACAGGCTTTGTCGTTTGCCTGCTCTACGCCCCGGCTGCGCTTGTTGTTTGTTTTACCTATTACCACATATTTCGCATTTGCCAGCAGCATAACAGGGAGATCAGCGAACGCAGGGCCAGGTTTCCAAGCCAAGAGATGGAGGCCAGCGAAGGAACTGGCAACAATGGGCACCAGGGGGGGCATGGACCCGATCGACGTTATGCGATGGTGCTGTTTCGTATCACCAGCGTGTTCTACATGCTTTGGCTGCCCTACATCATCTACTTCCTGCTCGAGAGCTCCCACGTCCTGGACAGTCCTGCCCTTTCCTTCATCACCACATGGCTAGCCATTAGCAACAGCTTTTGTAACTGTGTCATCTACAGCCTTTCTAACAGCGTGTTCCGACTGGGCATGCGTAGGCTCTCCCAGACAATCTGCTCCTTCAGCCACTGTGCAGCTGATGACAGGGATTTTGTGGAGCCTAAACCAAGGAAGAGAGCAAATTCATGCTCCATCTGAAAGGAGGACTTGCCACAGGACTCATTCATGGAAACTGGGATCTTAACCAGCTCGATGCTGTTACCCAACAGTGAAGCTGTTAGAAAGAGCCCAAGCAAAAGCCTGTAAAATGACACAAGTGACTTTGCCTTGGTCACAAAACGCCAGCTTTGTTTCCAGTGTAAGCTTTGTGAGTTGATGGTCAGTGTGTCCAAGCAGGGAGTTTTGCAGCCAGTGATAGGTTTAATTCCATGCATGTGACGTAACTGTGAATTGCCTACAAAGTAGTTTTCCAGTTGCTTTCATAGCACTGTGTCAGTAACCATGTCAGACCTACGGCAACTATACATAGTTAAAAAACAAATAGTGAAAAAACAAAACAAAAACTGTTTTGATAGTCTTTGTAAATTCCTCTGCCTGTTACTGGATGTCCTTCCACTGATCGGCATCAAGAGACGCGTGATATCACACGATTGTAAACTGGTATTTGTCATTTTCACTGTACATGACCATAGTGATAGTAAAACCAGCGATTATGCTGCTAAATAACAATGTTGTGAGGCTTTGACTGTTGTTTTTTGTATAGAAAAAGAGTCCGAGAAAAGTGAGAGTATTTTCTTGTATTTCGTAGTTTTGGTCTGGTTTGTGTACACGGAGAGGCTCGGTGAGCAGAGCACAGAGGCAAGACATTTGTCAAATACACTGTCAGGTCTGGAGCCACTGTTGATGGAGTGATTGGCCAGTCATCCTTACAGCTGCTGGGAGGAGGGTATGGCTCAAATTGCCTGCAAAATATACAATACATTTCCACACTGTACAGCCATCATTACCATTGATTCTTCTACACTAACAAAACGATGGCAGAAAAGTTTAATGTTTCAAAGAGTTCAGAATGATAACGGTACTGTAATTGCTCTTCTTTTATTGATCTTTATGAAAACTACCACGGCTGGCCTGGACATATGGACTGGTGTCCGTTGCTCTTCATCAGTTGTCTTTATAAAGATGACAGCGGTGGATTTTATTTCTCAGCAGCGGGGGAACAGGCGCTCAGGTTAACGTGACTTCTGTGTGATTCGTCTGGAGGTTGGCCAGAGGTTAGAACTTGACTGATCTGAAATTACATGCTTACACTGTGTAAGGTTATCTTGGTAGTGGCTTATCTCCTGTTGATTTGTTGAATTACAGGCCAGAGACTGTTTGTTTTTTTGCTACTGTTCCCTCAGCTTCACCAGGTTTATTATTACACTAAATTCTACTCCTAGTGCCAAGTACAGTTGTGCATAACACCTGAGATATGCAGTGTATAATTTCATTTACTCCCAGGAGTGACTGCAAAATACTGCCAGGACCTTAGCTTGAAAGAAACCCAGCCTTTAGAACGGGCTACATTCATCAAACCTGTGTTTTAAAAAAGAAAAATATGATCACTATGTTTTTTGTGCAGCCATATTCCATTTATTTGTAGAGGAGGGTTAAAAGAATACTCTAACCAATTGGAAAAAAACATTTTACAATTGAAATAACACACTATTTTTAAACAATTCTACAAGCGAATCTTACGGATGTTGGTTTATATTAAAGTCGAGTTGAGATTTTGGAGATTAGCGGCTGTTGATGATACTGCAAAAAGATTTCTTCAGTGAAACTTCTGGGTTTTCTACCTTATGTCTTGAGATCTGTTTCCCAGTCTGGGTTTTTTGATAGACAAAAAAAATCAATAACTGCCTTTTTTTTTTGTTTTGGATTAATATTATCCTTTGCTACAGCACAGCACTGAAGTCATTCCAGTCCATCGACCTTTAACACATTCCATCGATCCTGGCTTAACGTCATGTAGTCATTAATATTAAAATAAAATATGTTAATATATAAAATTGCCACGTTTTATAGCCAATGATTACCCTACCTGCTCTGGTGTGGTCAGCTGTGGTTCAGGCCTTGCTTGTGGTGTTTCTGTCCTGCTGGAAACCAAGTGACTCTAAACCAGTTTTTCAGTATTCTGAATGTTTTCAATCAGTCCTCCTTATCTTCATGCCTGTGTTACCCCCCCTCCTCCCCGCCCCCCCTTCAGACCAGAGTTATATAATTTTGTTTGGCAGATACGTAGGGGGCAGAAAGATTGTTTCTTCATTTAAATATCCTGTTACCACACAGTTGTCCATTTCAGTCAGAAGAAAAGAATGGTGCATAAGAGTTTTAGTGAATCCTGGTGGACTCCAGGAGGTTGTAACTGAAGTACTTTTTTACTGCAGGAGGTTGTAACTGAAGTACTTTTTTTCAATTTCTGTCTTTTGTCTTATTCACTTGCTCTACTTTCTCTACCTGCCACTTGTTTCTTTTAGGTCTTTACATTTTCTTTTGTGAGTTTTCTAACCTATTTTCAAATGGAAACAGCCCTGTGCTGCAAAGGCTGCCAAGGATTTTTATACGGTTTTAAATATTCAAGGATAGACTGATGATCCTCAGAGACGCTATCGCCTTTTATCACTAGTAATTAATTTACTCATGGGTTGATGAAAAATAAATGCTTATTTCCTGCTCAGTCGAAAGGCAAGACTGTTCTGTCTATATGCCTAAAAATGGAATTTGTAAAAGGAAGTGGCGAAAGATGTGGAAGTAATTCAACACGAATGGACGTACTGCACTTTTTGAAACCTTAGTCCATCGACTTCTATATTCTTTTTTCCATTAACGTTGTTTGTTTCACGCTCTGAGGTCAAGTCTTTCTTTTTTTTTATTTAAGTCGAGCTGAATTGATGTACAGAACGTGCTCTTGTTTGTCTGGATTCACATCCCAATTTTTCTACCTTGTGACCTGTTGTGTATGGAGAAGTACAATAGGAAAACGCACAACATAGCCTTGTAAAATACTAGTGTCATATTTATTCTTTTACAGCTAGGTGTCCTCCTTTTGAAGTGTCAATAAGGTAGCTGTTTAAATTCCTTCGGGCGATGTACGATGTAAACGTCAAGATAAAATTAGACCGTAAAATTAGACTCAAAACAAATAAAAACTACGTGATGTTTACGATAAATCTTCTTATATGTAAAATAATTTGTCACATTTAGATACGTCGTTAGCTGGGTGTTAAACGTAGCAGTGGAGTAAATGTGACGTACATGTCGTGGCTAAGGGTTTCAGAAATCCAAGAGCCGTTGAATAAATATTAAAAACATAAAAATAGTAGTTTAAGTGTCTGTATAGCACTGACCAAACTAAAGTGTTCCAAAACCTGTCAAGTGCATTAAAAAGAATATTTATTTGAAAGAAACGAGAACAGGGTTTATTTAAACCTAAAGGTGTGTTATTTTACTGACTTCTGTTGACATCACGTCACGATATTCTGAGTATACTGTGTGTAAAAATACTGTGTGTATCTGTGTTTAATCTGCTGTACAGACGAAAATAAAATCAGATAAAGAATTTCTGATAATGGTATGGCACAAATGGCACATTGTGTGTGAATCAACTAGGCTGCTATTATGAGTAGGAGACAGTGTGTGTTAAATTATACACTATCTATTTTTTTATTTTGTTATATTGTCAGAAGCTATGATTTTGCTGTTGCTGCCAAGTCAATAAACATAAAAATGCAGTTGACATTTTCTTGTAGTGCTTTTGTAAAATGTGTGTCTGAGAATACCAGCCACCTGTGAACACCCATTCATTATGATGTGTTCAGGGCCCGGCTTCTAGTAATTGTCTTCTTGTGGAGTTGATGTGTTGAAACAGACAGAGATATAGCTTCAAAATATGAAATGAAGGCTCGATACAACTTGTCCATGTCTGACATGAGACACTGGGACTTTTTCCATGTCTGACATGAGACACTGGGACTTGTTTTGTAGTCGATGTGTTTAGTTAATTTCCACCTGAACACTTTCTGGTGCATTCTACTTTTGGAGGAAAAAAACCCCAAACAGTGACAGTAAAAGCAGTAACACAAACAGTACATGTTCCTATTAATGTGGACTAAAGTCCCTACAAATTATTCAGTGAACCCAGGAGCAGCCTCTCAGTACAGACCTACATCAGGAATTCCCTTTTATTTCCAAAAATGGCAGCATTCACCTCACTTCCTTTTCCCGTTTCCACCCGGCCTTCTTCCTTCTCCCCCTCCCTCCTTAACCTCTTTATGTTCAGATTCAGAATGAAGCCCCTGATCCTCTTTGGAGGTGAGGGAGTCATTATTGTACAGAAAAAGGCAGACGCTGCCTGTGTGTGTGTGTGTGTGTGTGTGTGGTAATGGTGGAGCCCTGCAGCACCAACTAAAAGCCTTTGATGCATAAGGAGGACACACTCCTACACCCACACACCAGCTCACCCTCATACATCTTGCATGGCCTGGGTCTTTGAAAAGGTGGGCCTGCAGCCTCGGAGCTGACAGGTGTTAACCTAGATATAACTGACACTCAATAATTTGCAGTGTTAAACTTTAGTTTTGATCATTTATTTAAGCATTTACTGCACCATGACTCCAACTATTCCAACATCTCTGTACCAGGCTGCACCAATGAAAGAAAGGCATTGATTTTTTTTTTTTTTATTTCCTTTGTTAAATGAGAACCACAGATGTTTTAGTGAAGGTCAGGTGAGATTTGAAGCAATAACTGTAAATTCTAATTTTGCCACGTTGGGGAAATTGCACTGGTTTGTTATTTTATTTCCTTTGTTAAATGAGAACCACAGATGTTTTAGTGAAGGTCAGGTGAGATTTGAAGCAATAACTGTAAATGTGTTGATGTGGAGGTCTGGGGCGGGGGGTTTGACAATAATCCCGTCTAAAATAAGGACACAGCAGAAAAAAGTGTTGGAACAATTGATTTTTATTTACCCAGGAGCAATTTACTGAATTTTAGAGCAATAATTAAACTGGATTATACTTCTATCAGAAGAGCTGTCAGAGTCAAAACATTATAATATGTGTGTGTAATACCACATGTTGACAACACTTGGTGTCCACACCTTTTTTTTTTGTGACTTGGTAGCTACTATTCAAATGAACAGTCGCCACTTTTGTGTCAAAGTTTTTAAGAAATGAATAGATCG